GCTTATCGTCGCTCCTCGTGAGCTTATCGTCGCTCCTCGTGAGCTTATCGTCGCTCCTCGTGAGCTTATCGTCGCTCCTCGTGAGCTTATCGTCGCTCTTTGTGAGCTTATCGTCGCTCTTTGTGAGCTTATCGTCGCTCTTCGTGAGCTTATCGTCGCTCCTCGTGAGCTTATCGTCGCTCTTCGTGAGCTTATCGTCACTCTTTATTGAGTTTATCGTCGCTCTTCGTGAGCTTATCGTCGCTCCTCGTGAGCTTATCGTCACTCTTTATTGAGTTTATCGTCGCTCTTCGTGAGCTTATCGTCGCGCTCTTCGTGAGCTTATCGTCACCTCCTCTCGAAGTTTCTTTGAAAGGTTTACTGATTCCGGAGGAGGGATCTGTTTCCTTTATTACTAAACAAAGAACTTTGAAGGAGGTTTATCTTGCCTCTTAAGCTTATCATCATTTATAATTATCTTCACATATTAATTACTTTACACTTTTTAGAGAAAAATCATTGTGTTGGATGTGGAAAACAAGATCACAGTGTATTCTTTAGTGGGAATATTCAAGATCTAAAGAACTCGGACATTGACGAATGGATTCGATCATATTCACCAAATATGACTCATATAGTTCGGGAAGAAAATACCGGGTAAGTAAAAATTGTTTTTTTCTTTCTTTTGTATTTAACTTATAAAGCTAATGAAGTTGGTTTCTTTTCAGTTATGGATTAGTCCACTTCAAATCATGTTCAGAAGCCGGTTTATTCTTTCGTGAAATGTATGATACAAGATTTACTGGGCCATTCAATACTACAATTAAGTTTAGTGCCGCCAAAAAATTCAGGAGCAATGAGTTCGTCCAGTATGCTGAAGATGTAAGAGTACTTTTAATCTTTTTATCTTTAATTAATTATCGTTGTAAATTTATTATTAACTAATTTATAATACTCTCAGGTTATAGAAGATGTAGTTTCATCCGGAGTTCCAGTAAATACTTAAAAGCTTTTAGTCTTGTTTATGCAATAAAATCAACATTAATAAAAATTTTTTTAATTAAAAGCTGGTAACTGTCACAGAAGACAACGAAAATAGCGAAAATAACGAAAATATGGAATCGTCTTGGAAGCCTACAACCGATTTCTACGTGACAAAGGAAAGTTTTATTATAAATATGGAGTTACCGGTATGTATTTTTGTCAAAATAAATCTTTTTTCATATTTACAATATATTTTAATCAAATGTATTGAAATTTTTTGTAGGGGTTAAAAAAAGAAGATATCAATGTTAATTTATGTAATAATCAACTCGTCATTTCTGGCGACATGAAGAGGGCTCAACTTTCAGGCGGTTCATACAAAATTAATGAGCGTCATGTTGGACCCTTTACTCGTAAAATTACTTTAACTTCAAGCATAAGCGATGATAATATTACCGCTACGTTTGAAAATGGGCTTCTCAAATTGAACCTTTTGAAGTCCTTACCCGCGACTAAGAAAATCGATATAATTTGATCCGGCTTCAATCTTTAATACCCTTTATTAGTCATTTTTTTTTTATTTTCGCTTTTTATTTAGTAAAAACTTCATTTGGAAAGTTTTTAGGAATCAATTAAGACGGTTCTTTTTAATTTCTCTTATACTTTCTTTTTTTTTCTCTTGTATCTTTCGTTTATTTATCGTTTGTCAAGAAAAGAAGAAACTTTATTTGCTTTATCTGAGCTTGGTCAATGAAATCACTTTTATCTTTTACTTTAGTTAAAAGAGCTTTTACATCAGTCTTTTTCAACTTATCTCCTTTTAAGGCAGTTCTTTTATTTTTTTCAACTGTCAGTAATAAAAGTAGCGTCATTTAAAGAACTGTCAATATCTTTTACTGCTCAAAAATGTAAAACGAACACAGTAATAAATTTTAAAATTTTTGAATATTGATGTGGAGTTGTATGGTTAATAAAAAAAGTGGTCTCACGGGGGTAAAAATGCATTTTTAAATAAATCGCAGCATATTGTTGAATGCGCTGCGCTTACTGCGCATGTCCAATTTTACAGTTATATAAATTTATTAGTCAGATTAGATAATTTGCGTTTCTGAATCTTTCTCGGATCTTGATTTGCAAGTATACATCAAAAATGTTTTCAGTTACAAAAGACTTTATGAATAAAGATGCTCCTCCAAATTATGTTGCCGGTTTAGGTAGAGGGTAGGTTATCTCAGTATGAAAATATCTTCAACATAAATATTCACCTAACGTGTATACGTTTTTTTTTGGTTTTTTTTTTTTTTTTTACAGTGCAACAGGTTTTACAACGCGATCAGATATCGGTCCCGCAAGAGAAGGACCGGCTGATTTCAGGTATTTATAATTTATTCATTTTTCTTATTTCATATTTTTAATTAATTCATACCGCTATTGCTACAAAATCCTCCGTTATTTCATAAGAACCCCAAAAATGGGTTATGCATTAGAGAACGAAAAGGGATTACATATATATTATGTTGTGGTACGTAATTTTTATTAAAGAATGAGATTTTTTTGCTAATTCAAATAATATTATTTAATTATTTTTGTTACAATAGTGATGCGTTACAAAAGAAAGCACAAGATGATGATGATGATGATGAACGTTTTCAAGATCCAGATAATGAAACTGGACTTTTTGCTTCGGCTCCTTATGAAGAAGATGATGAAGAAGCTGACAAAATTTATGAGGCTATTGATCAAAAAATGGATGAAAGGAGGAAAGCTAGACGTGAAGCTCGTGAAAAAGAAGAGTTGGAAAAATATCGTGCCGAACGTCCTAAAATTCAACAACAATTTGCTGACCTTAAACGTGGTCTTGCTGCTGTTACCGATGATGAATGGGCAAATCTTCCTGACGTTGGTGATCTTGTCGGAAAAAATAGAAAGAAAACTAATTTAAGAGAAAGATATTATGCCATACCTGATTCTTTGTTGGAAAAGGCTAGGGAAGAAAACAAATACGTTACTACATTAGATGCACAACAACAGGTAATGAATAATACATTCAAATTTCTCTACTTATGATAATAGTAATAATATATTTTAAATTTAATTTATTATAGAAATTTGGAGGTTTTCAAACACCTGCACCAGATTCTGGGATGATGACAAACTTTATAGAAATTGGGCAGGCAAGAGATAAAGTATTAAGTTTGAAATTGGATCAAATTTCTGATTCTGTTAGCGGTCAGACAACGGTGGACCCAAAAGGATATTTGACGGACTTGAATAGCGTGGTCATTAAAAGTGATGCTGAAATAGGGTATATATATATTTTATATATATATATATTTTTGAATAATTTATTGAGGCTTTGTTAATAGATTATTTATTAAAATATTTTAATATTTTGTATATTTAAAATTTACACTTAGCGATATCAAAAAAGCTCGATTGTTGCTTAACTCAGTTATTTCAACTAATCCAAAACACGCTCCAGGTTGGATTGCGGCAGCGCGTTTAGAAGAAGTTGCTGGCAAATTAGCTCAGGCCAGAACGATAATTGCCAAAGGATGTGAAGAGTGTCCGAAAAATGAAGATGTTTGGCTAGAAGCAGCTAGATTAAATAATGCTGATAACGGAAGAACAATTTTGGCTAATGCCGTTAGGCATCTTCCACAATCGGTTAAAATTTGGTTGCAATCAGTGAAATTAGAAACCGATCTTAAAGCTCAAAGAAAGGTTTTGAGAAGAGGTAATTAATTAATAAATAAGTCGTTCAACATGAAATATATAATTAACGCGAAAATGTATTATTTATTTTTATGAAGCTCTTGAATTTGTACCAAATTCTGTGAAACTTTGGAAAGCAGCGGTCAATATGGAAGAAAATCCATCGGACGCACGTATCCTGTTAGCACGTGCTACCGAGTTAGTTCCCCTTTCTGTTGATCTATGGCTTGCTCTTGCACGACTTGAGAGTTACGACAATGCAAAAAAAGTTCTTAATAAAGCACGTTATCAAATTCCTACTTCACATGAAATCTGGATTGCAGCTGCTCGTCTCGAAGAACAACAAGGTAATGAGAAGATGACTGATAAGATTATTGCCAAAGCTGTTACAGTCCTCTCTGAAAAGGGTAGTGTGTTAGGACGCGATCAATGGTTACAAGAAGCAGAAAAATGCGAAAGAGAAGGTAGCGTTGGGACTTGTCAAGCCATAGTAAGAAATACTATTGGTATGGGAGTTGAGGAGCAAGATAAGAAAACCATATGGTTAGAAGATGCGGAGAGTTGTATTTCACATGGTTCCATTGAAACAGCTCGTGCTATCTATGCACAAGCTTTAAAAACATTCCCTGGTAAAAAATCAATATGGCGTAGAGCTGCATTTTTAGAAAAATCACATGGAACTAGAGATTCATTGGAAGAATTATTACAGCGTGCAGTTAGATTTTGCCCTCAAGCTGAAGTGCTTTGGCTTATGGGAGCCAAAGAAAAATGGCTTGCAGGCGATGTTAACGGAGCTCGATTTATTTTAACTGAAGCTTTTAGAGCGAATCCAAATAGTGAACAAATTTGGTTAGCTGCTGTTAAATTGGAAGCTGAAAATGGAGAATATGAACGTGCAAGAATGTTATTGCAAAAAGCAAGAGATCAGGCTGGTACAGAGAAAGTATGGATGAAATCAATAGTTTTAGAGCGTCAGCTTAATAAGATTATGGAAGCTATAGTTATGTTAGATGAAGCTCTGAACCGATATCCTACATTTGATAAATTATGGATGATTAAGGGTCAAATTGAGGATGAAAAAGGTGATATATTTAAAGCTAGGCTTACCTATGCTAAAGCTGTAAAAAATTGTCCGAAATCTATACCTTTGTGGATATTGGCTTCTAGGCTAGAAGAGAAAGCAGGCCTTTTAATTAGGGCTAGAGCTACTCTGGAAACAGGTCGCTTATTGAATCCTAAAACGCCTGAATTATGGTAAATATTCTTTAAATATTTTATTTTTAGAGTTATTATTTAGTATACTAAATATAAATACCCTTCTATAGGTGCGAAGCCATTCGTGTGGAATTGAGAGGGAACAATATCAATATGGCAAAGGTTTTATTGGCAAAGGGTAATTAATTAATTATAATCACCATCAGCTGTTTGAATTATATATTTATTCATGATAAAATAATTTATTCCCATCTTTATATTTATAATAATAGCTTTACAAGAATGTCCTAGTTCAGGATTATTATGGTCAGAGGCGATATTTATGGAGACTCGTCCACAACGTAAAACGAAATCTGTTGATGCGCTTAAAAAATGCGATAATGATCCCATAGTTATTGCAACAGTAGCGAGATTATTTTGGTCCGAACGTAAAGTGGATAAAGCTAGAACTTGGTTTGAGAAAGCAGTAAAAGTTGATCCAGATCGAGGAGATTCGTGGGCATGGTATTATAAGTTTGAATGTCAACATGGAACTGAGGTAAAATAATAAATATCTTTTGATTCCTATAATAATTTTTTTATTTAAATTTGTCATTTTAAATTTTTTTTTTTTTCTTTTATTAACAGCAACATCAGCAAGATGTAATTACAAGATGTGTAATAGCAGAACCTCATCATGGCGAACAGTGGCAAATTGTTGCAAAAGATATGAAAAATGTTGGCAAGAATACTGAAGAAATCCTTAAATTAGTTGCTAATGATCTTGTTTAATTTTGTATTCTTTTAAGACATGTAATCTATCTATAACAAGATATAGAGTATTGGACAAAAAGTTAATGATGATCCTATTTATTATAAGTTAAAGAATGATGATTAGTATACATTTTTACAAAGTTGATTAAATTAGTTAAATCAAGTTGAAAAAAAAATTACATAATTTTCCTCAGCAAACAAAGGCGGAGGAATATTCCTTTCCCATTTTGAACCATCTGGTGCAGTTGGATCTAAATAAATAAATAATATTAATAAATAAAAAACAATAAATAAATCAAATTCATATTAAAAGTCAGTTACATTTATAGGGATCAGGATGACTATAATTTTCAAGTTCTTTTTCAGTGTCGAGTAAAATTTTACGTAATTCTTGTAAGGAAGCAACATTTCTATTTGCTTCAAAACGAGCACGAATTTCTAAAGCTACAGGACGCCATGCAGAACGATCTACATACCAATCTAAAGCCGTTCTTAGGGAACGTCTATATAAAGAAGTTACATATTGTTTATGAACAACGGGAAAAGCTGGTTGTAACATTGTAAAAAAACTAAGGGAGGAAAATTTGAAAAGTTGTAGGCTTTTGTGTTAATCACATGAATCTGTAATTCAGATGCTGTACATAATTGGTTAGAAGGATTGATAGTTATTTTTTAAAAAATCGGACAATTTTTACGCTTGCGATTTGTATATTTACAATGTTAGATAAAAATGCAAATGCAGCAAGGATATCATCATCATCATTACATATCAATATAAAGGCAGAAGTATTTAACACCAAAACGAATTTTTTAATAAAGTCATGGGAGGAATCATCAATAAGACCATACATATTAAAGTATTCTAAGCAAAGAGCATTAATATTTATCGTAATTTTAATATTAATTATATTTTATTATAATAGTGGAAGTAGTAAAGAAGATAGGAATAAAAAGAATGAAATAGGAATAATACAGGATGTGGACATGTTAACTGATATTATACCAACAGAAGGAGATGGAGAGAGCACAGCTATATTATTGAATTGGAATAGATTAGATAACATTAAAATTATTGTAAAACATTTGTGTCAATATTCCATATTTAAAGAAATTTTTATATGGAATAATAATAATGATATACATTTATCAGATCCAGTTAAGTAGAATTTAATTATTTTGTAATTTTTTTTTTTCCTTGAAGTAATTCAAAAGTTATTAATATTTCCTAATATATATTAGATGTTTGTTGATGCGCATTGTAATAAGATAAGATATTATAATTCACCAGGGAATATGTATTTTATAGCAAGATATTTAGCATGCTCAATGGCAACGACAAAATATTGTTACTTTCAAGATGATGACTGGATAAATAAATATTTAAGGTCTATGTATAGTAATTTTTTAAGGTTCCCCAATTTAATACATACTGACACAAATGCGGATGTTTATTCTTTAACGAATTGGAAGTGGTGTTTTTTCAACGAGGGTAATCATTAACTTTTATTATCTATTCATCCACTTTGTCTTTTTTTTTAAAAAAACTTTAACAAAAAATACCGATCTTTGATATTATGTAGATGTTAATTTACATTCATGTTTTTCATGGGTTGGTACAGGAGCATTTACTACTAGAGAGAATGTAATAAAATTTTTAAAAATGACAAGTGAAACAGAAATGAGCTCGTTAGAATTTAGATATGGTGACACTTATTTTACTACGTACATGAATCAAGTACCTTATCAATTAGAAAATCCTTTATTTGAATTACCACAAGAAAATGGTTTCAGTTCAACCGGTGAAGGTAGAATACGTAATAAATTATACATGCATCAAGCATTAATTAGATTATATAATCATTTATCTTTACGTGTTAATCTTACAACGGAAAACACAAAAGAATTTTCACCGACTTTATACGAAAGAGATGTTAGATCCCCTTGTCATAATGATAAATGTTTATTCTTAACGAATAAACATAGTTTTCCTAGTATAAGATCATTTAAATATCTCCCTTATATAAATATTAGTGAAAGTGAACGTTTGCATTCTAGTTTTTTTAATACTCATCATTTCATATCCCATCCTTATTCTAATGCTGTTGATCATGATAATTTTACTACCTGGATTTCTCAGGATGGTACAGTATCTTTGACTCTTATTTATATCTAATTGAGAATTTAGGATTAAAAGGATAACTAAAAAAAAATGAAATATTATTTTATAGTTATTAAAAAAGACGACTATATTGGATTAGATTTATTATTACCTATGCCGGTACCACTTACCTTTAATTTAATTATTGATCATGATCGAGATTATTTTAATCATCTATCTATACAAATTTCTCATGATGGTTCTGAATGGGTAAGTGATAGTTTTTCTTTTCTCTTGATTAAATTAAATTTTTATATCTATTTAATTATTTCTCCGTTCCTCGATAATCAATAGATTCAACTATCTCCTTTACCTAAATTAGAAATTAATGATTTATCTACATCATTTACCAAGAATAATTTATTATCATGTAAATTTCTTGTACGTGAAACTGGTTTTAGATTTTTAAAATTAGTTAGTACAAAAGATTGGAACTTTACCTTCTCTATTTATGATTTTACTTTTAATGGTCATATGGATGAAAATAATTTGGTTGTTAATGAAGTTAGTTTAGGGGATGATAATGATGAAAATGATTAATATTTGTAGTAATCTACATATATATTTTAATAGATGGTTAACGTTAATCTTTTTTTTGATATAAAATTAAAAAATTAAATAAATAGCCAAGAAAGAGATGATCTTCTGAGCGCGTCATTTGATTACATTTCGCATATTAAATTTGTACCTTTCATAAATTTATCATAAAACAGAAAGAAAATGATACAAATATTTGGAAATGAAGACGATGCATATTCATTAAATGATAGTTTTGACGAAAAAGAAAGTAATGTAGAAAAATGGGAATTTGTACGCGTCTCTTTTTTTTTTATAAAAAAAAAAAAGGTTCAATTCAATATCGGGTATTAACATAACTTTTTGTATAGATTGATTCGTGGTTAAAAAGTCATTTTAAAGATAAGACTATACCGCTTTTTGAGAGAAACCATGAAGTTGCTTCGGCTTTATATGAACTGGCACTTTTTAACAAACAACAAGATGCTATGACCGAAATTATAATTAACCGACAAAAAGCTCAATCAGTGGAATATCGTGCCGAAGGTTATATATATATACACACACAATTACTGTGTTCTTATACGTTTGATATGATTTTTAACGCGTCTTTTTCGAACCAAAAAAAAAAACAAAGCTAAACGCATAAAGGAAATTTTGGATACCGTGGGAATATCAAAAGTCGATTTATCCAAGAATGGCGCACAAGCATTAAAAACGTTATCTTCTTTAGCTACAATTTTGGGTTTAGCTGATACTGAACGGAGCAGGTATTTTCTTTTTTCCTTTTTTTTTTTTCTTTTATTTTAATTCAACTTAACAATGAAAAATTTTCTAGTTATCTTTCAGCATTGGCGCAATTGAATCTGGATACTTTACGCGTGGAGCGTAAAAATAATGTTATTGTTCGTAGCACAGATTCCATGGAAACTCAAATCCAAGCTGCTAAATTAAGAAATGAAAAATTAAACACGTTTGTTATATTCTTTATTTTATTTACAATTCTTAATTAATTAAGCTGAATAAATTTTTTATTATATTTATTTTAGACTGTTATCTAATTTACGGTGTCGTTGGAATTCGAAAGAACAACAGAAACTTCAAGAATGGAAAAAGAATACACAATTGTTATCGGAGAAAGGAAAAGAATACCAAAACAGATTGTCTATATTGGAGGTGGTTATAAAAGCATGAATTCAACTCGAACGTATTCTATAGCTATAATATATTTTTTTAATATTAATTCTATAATATAGAGAAAATATAATGATATGAACGTAAAAGAAGGCGGATTACGATTTAAAGATTTGAAAGAAAAAGAGGATAATGTAAATGCTTTGGATCATGAAATTCGGTCGAAAACATCAAAATTAAAAACATATAAAATTATGCCCGCGGTAATTGCGCGTTTTAAAATTTAACCTTTGTATCTTTCATTGATCTATATTTAATCCGTCAATTTTTTTTTCAATTATAAATGTCAGAATCTGACATTAGCCAAATTAAAATTGGAAGAGGCTAAACAGAAACTAGTAAGTAAAATAGGTCAATCACCTTATTCATCATACACTACTAATTTCCTTATTATCTAAAAGGATGAACTAAAGGAAACTCATGATGAATTAATATATAACATGGCCGGGAATTTTCAGTAGCGATATTTGGTATATATATGCTAGGATCATATATATTTTTATGATAATAAAACACGGAATTTTTAAAGAAAATCACTTCCATTCAGTCATGAATTTTTTTTTTTTATAATTTACTATTTTATAAGGTTTCGTGCTTTATACATATATTTCGTAAGTTAAAGAATAAATGAATAGACAGAGAAAAGCTTAGACATTTACATCTATCTATAGGATAAACAAACAAAATTTTTACATTATAAAATTGAAAAATAATCATTTTATTGAATAAATTTTTCAAATGAACCAATTTTAATAACAAATTAATAATTATTTATTTAAATATAAATAAATAGTTAATTTATTTCTTTCTATTGAAATTATTTTTTAGAATAGAATGAAGAAAATGAATTTATGTTTAAAGTTATTAATGATTTACAACAATTTTCTCTTCTGCTAGTTTTCAAAGTTTGGAAAAACACAGTTGAATTTTGTTTTAATAGGTCAATTTATTAGTTTTTCTAATAATAAAAAAAAGTTAATGATCAAAAACATAGAAAATCTTTTAATTATCACTTTAATTCTAAAATTTAGATAGTATCTTAAAAAGTAGTTAAAAATCATTTATTAATTTAAAGATAAACAAAATGATCATATAATAGATATATATAATATCATATGAAATGTGTAATGCATATTAACTTGTAATGTATATTTTACATTTTATACTCAATTGCTTTTTATAAAATAATTAAAAAATTACTTTTATAAATAAAAATTTTATTTTAAACAATATTTCCATATTCAGCAATTTGATTTGATTTTTAGGATTCACAGATTCGTACAATGCAAATAAAAATGTGTTATATATTAAAAAATGATTTATTATTTTATTAATTATTATTAAATTTAACATTTCAATAGAATTTTCTGAGAATAAACTATGTCTATTATCTAAAATTCTTTTATAATTAAAAAATTGCACTCAACATTAATTCTTGAAATAAGTAATCATATATTAACTAATATTATGCTTAATAAATATGAAAGAATTATTTGTTTTCTTGTCAATATTAATTTAAATTCAAATCATCTTCTTAAAAATTTTTACCAAATCACAATAAATTGCCTATTTAGTTATAATAGAATTAGAAGGATTTTAAAATTCTGAAATTAGATTATAATTAGTTAAAAATTAATTTATTTATCGTAGGAAACAATACTCCTTATACATCACTTTTATATATATATATA